AAACGTACCATAGCAGACTAACATGATGGGTGGATAGATTACTACCTTTTCACTTTACAATTAAACATCTCGCAGGAAAAGATATGGGTTTCACTGATTTAACTTCAAGAATTCCATCCGAAAAAGCTTTACCTATGTCACATTATGATGAATAATTTGTCGTAGCGAACATCAATAAAATTAATAAATCAATCAATCCATCGGAGAAACAAAGAAATACCTGCTCGGCCATTGGTTCAAATTTGGAAATTTCCGGTTGCGCAAAATTAGGTAATTACCCTATAATGTCAGTATTAAAACTGATCAACTCGATTTTTCCAATTTTTTCATCTAATCACAATAGAACCAAATGTTGTACTTCAAATTGCATTCCAACGGATTATTCCAACACTAATTCTTTAATTATTTCTATTTTTAGTCCCGCAATTTTTTATTCTCTAATTCTTAATTGTAGATTAATTAATTCATTGTAGATAAATCGATCTTCCAGTTGAATTCAGACCATATAAAAGCATTTGAAAAAATCAAACAAGAAATCATCAACCTCACGGGAAAAAAACCATTTCGACGTGAAACGTAAAACTAGAGTAAAAACAGACGCTTCACACAATGGGTTGGGGGCTTCCCTCAAACAACTCCACGGGAGTGATTGGAAAACGATTTTTTTTGCTTCACGGTTTTTAAATCCGCATGAGTCAAAATATTCCACAAACGAACTCGAACTGTTAGGAGTTGCCTGGGCCGTTGAACACTATAAAAATTACCTTTATGGATCAGATTTTGAAGTAATCACAGATCATAAAGCTTTGCTTTCAGCCCTGTCAACGAACCACGGAAATAAAACGTACCATAGCAGACTAACATGATTGGGGATAGATTACTACTTTTTCACTTTACAATTAAACAGCTCGCAGGAAAAGATGTGGGTGTCACTGATTTAACTTCAAGAATTCCATCCAGAAAAGCTTTAACTATGTCACATTCTGATGAACAATTTGTCGTAATGAACATCAAAATTAATAAATCAATCAATCCATCGGAGAAACAAAGAAAGACCTGCTCGGCCATTGGTTCAAATTTGGAAGTTTCCGGTTACGCAAAATTACGTAACTACCCTATAATGTCAGTATTAAAACTGATCAACTCGATTTTTCCAATTTTTTCATCTAATCACAATAAAACCGAATTTTGTACTTCAAATTGCATTCCAACGGATTATTCCAACACTAATTCTTTAATTATTTCAATTTCTAAGCCCGCAATTTTTCATTTTCTAATTCTTTATTGTAGATTAATTAATTCATCTGTAGATAAGAAAATTGTAGATACTGTTAATAAGGATAATATAAAAAATCGTAATTATTCCCTCTATCTCCGGTATTTCAATATCCCTAGACTTCCCTCTATTGAAAGATCACGTGAATCTAGTAAATAAATACCGTGAAAAATTGAAGTTGCCTGAACGTCCCTTGGATTTAAATACTCTTTTTAATGCCAAGCTTGTAGCTCTCCTAACTGAAGACGACCCTATGTTGAGCCCTATCGTAGAAGCACTTCAAATGGATTATTATACATGGACGATAAACTAGTTTTACCTTTTACCCTGAGAAATGCAAAAAAAATGAAAACTCTCCATGAAACCCATCCTGGTGAATTTGGAATTAAGTATTTGGCCCAATACATCTGGTGACCCCATAATAACAGGCAAATTTTACTTTCACGGCTTAAACTGCTCAGAATGTACAATGACGGGTAAGAACTTGAAAAGTATAATTCCTAATTCGCAAATTAGTGAACTTCTGCCCTACTAGAAGCAAACAAAGAACTCAACCTAGATTTCGCCGGACGTTTAGATTCATATTGGGGGTCAAACAAATACATTTTAGTATGCATCGATCGATTTTCAAAAATTCCTTCGGCAAAAATTACGACATCTACCTCTTCAAAAACAGTTATCGAATTTCTTCAAGATTACATATTCTTAGACGGTATACCTTATTCAATAAGAGTTGACCATGCATCTTGCTTTACAAGTCAAGATTTTAAATTATTCTGTGACTCAAACAATGTTAAAATAATATTTTGTACAGTAGGAGACCATCGCTCCAGCGGATTAGTTGAAAAACTTGTACATACGGTAAAAATCAAATTGTTAGCTATGGCTCAAGAAACACAAAAAATTATATTACAAAACGCCGTATAAAAAATTATCTGGAACCTACGATCCTCTTACCAATCAAAAATCAAATGCTCCTCCTTTGAAATTCATTTTAATAGAAAACCAAACACAATTTGGAAACAACTTGCTCCAGTAAACCATCCTTTGGAATTTTAGACAAAGGGAAATCTATAATATCTAAGGAAAGAGTGAAGGATTGGAATGCCGACGACAGAGTCGAAGACGGTTACAAGGACACCTTGATTCCCAAGAAAAACCAACCATCAACAGAGGCGGGTTACGACACAGATTATGCCTCCACCTCGAAAACTACCACTACTAGATTACCACTTCAGAATCCGTTTAAGGTAAATTCCTGCGGAAAACGAATGGAAGCATCATCGGAGACCCATTTTATAGAGAACTGAAGAAAAAGATTAAAAATTTGTCTACTTCAGCAGTAGAATTATCCGACGGAAAAATAATTCGAAAATCGGATATCGCTATCCCTAAATCAAACTCGGCTAACAATAGATCTTTTAAAGGCAACTTTTTATTCCCTTATTTTTCTAATCCTAATGTTGAAATAGGTCAGATGAGCGAAAATTCAAGACGACAAACCAAACCCCGAAAGCCACAACCCAGGACCCGACATCAGATCGAACTAGGATCATATGACAACATGGCAAGGACACGTGTGTCGAAGCCTTCTTCAAAAACTACTCGGAGACAACCACCCCGGTCCAAGAAGACAACAACTCCTCCAGGTTACTTCGCTTCGGACGAATCTATGTTCATTCCCTCGGATATTTCGGATACTAGTGACTGGGAATGGATAGCGGGAGGTTCCCATGTAGAGACCTAGCCAAGGAACGATTTATTTCTGACTCAGTAAAAACTCCCAAATTTCCCAAATCAGGACGGGAACAATCGTAATCTTTGGGCATCCAATAGTAACATTAAAGTTGAGATTTTAGAGGACATCACTATTCCAGACGTCGATCAACTAATCCAGTGCCCAATAGGCATCATTCCGGCGGAGACAAAATCTACACCGCAAGGTCAAAAGTAATCCACTCCGGCCAAGCCCTCCACGACGCTAAGAAATTTGACTTCTCCGATGGAGGAAGATACCACGACGAACTGACCTGTTTACGAAATAGTGGATTTATCCGATGAGGCTATTTCTGCAACCAAACCCCCAACCAAATCCGGTATTGTTTCTCCTATTATTGGCCGGTCTAGTAGAAATGTAGGTCCACCAAAGTTCTGTGGTAGAAGATTCTTCATAGATGTTGTAGATTTACCCCAAGCGACCTCTGGGTCGGCATCAAACCCGATCATTCTTGAAAAGTGCGGTATCGATAAACGGGACTGTATCAACAGTAAAATTCCTTTGGAAGTCGTGACGATTGAATCTGAATCCTCCTCACCCGAACAAACCTCTTCCTCATCAACAGAAGAATCCCTAAGAATGGCGATTGATAACTTCGAAGAACAATCAGAGCTTGATAGTGAACTTTTTAATACAGAACTAAAAAACTTTTTAAACTGTTATCGAAACTGTAAATGATAATGCTCGGTTTATATTTTGCTTTGGTGCTATTTCATTTTCGCCTCTCTTTCAGACCTAAACTCATACCATTTAACTCGCCACCTTAACTTCAGAATTCATAGTTGCGGAATTCATTATTCAGCACAATAATCCTTCGGATTAGTTAAATCGTATTTACCTTATGTCGATTTACACCTCTCCGAGTGCAGTTAATTGTTTTGCCATACCATTCATACACCAACTCGTGCTAACAAAAACCTCAGATGGTTGATTTTTCTTTATCTTTTCTCTCGGACCATATCCGCCGGATATTGGACATTAAACTTTTAGGTAACAAGTTCGCAATACCCTTAAGTTCTATTAATCGTATTGTAACCAGCTTAGTTAGTTTAGTTTCAGTACACCATCGGTGTCGTAAATTAAATTTTATTTCCCTAAAAGGGGGAGAAAGGACGCAGTTAGTTAGTAATTAGTTAGTTGTACAATTTAAATTCTTTCCTGCTTAGAGGAATGATGTGATTCTCAGTTTATTTTGCACTTACTGCAACTATTACGTAATCTGCTAACAGGTCACTTACTTATGACCTTCACTTTGCCATTCTCTCCGGCGGAGAGAATGCTCTCTTCACTGTTTAATGTTTTAACTTTAGACTAATTCACTTTTAATCTTCTATTTATTTTAATTGTATAAAGTAGGTTTAGCTACAACAAAGTAACATTTTATTAACTCCGTCAATAACTTTTGAAAACTCTGGAATAGGTAATGAAAAACAAGCCAATTTGTTGCGAGGTACCTCTATTCATGCAGAACTACTAGTGTGTTCGTTAACTCGAGTTTTCGATATTTTTGAAGCGTAGAATTGCTACCATCCACGGATTTAAAACTGATCAAGTATAATGCCTTCAACTTCCTTAAATCTCCCTTTTAATTATTGATATCCAATTTCTTGTCTTTGTACGTCGCCTAGACAGTCTAGTAATTGAAACTTCATCTAGAACATCTCGAGAGACAGTTTCGACTACTGTTCCGCGATTCTAAATAAAACAAAAGGGGAGTGGCTATAATGGAATAGATGACACAGTCAATAAATCAAATCAGTAATTCCGTTCCACTGATGTTCCGACACAGTCTGGGGATGTAAGACATTACCCAAACCCCTTTACCCCCCCCCCCCCCATCACCTCCTCTCCCCCTCCCTCAATAGACTTATTGTGGATCTTATGTACTACACTTCGGGATGCGCTTATTTATATATAGACTGTTTCGTAGTAGTGTAAATAACTTACCATGTCTGATTCGGAAAGTGGACCAATTTGGTAGATGTGCAGACCAAACAGCACCAAGTCCGTCTCGCCTAAATATTGAAAAATGGAATTACATATCATTTATATCTTTGCAGAGTTAATTCAAGAAATTATTAAAAGGATTTGCCTAACTGATATGATTAGTGATCTAGTTGTTCCGACTTCCGATGAACACTAAATATTTATGCTTGTGCCTGTTTTTTTATTTAGTTCCGACATTTTTCTTACTGTTTTTACTGGCTGTTTTTTTTTTGACTGTTTTTTGTTCGGTATCGTCAGTTTTTTTATTCAGTTTCGATTTTTAACTATTCAATTTCAACGGAAAATAACCTCTGATTGTTTCACTAAAAATATTACCTGTGATAATTTTTACTCAAGCTACGGAAGTTTGAAAATAGACAAATTTGTAAGTTTTGGATATATTTGCGCGATATATTGCGTGTTCCTATGACGCGCGGGAGCAGCGGATTGAAAAGTTGTAAATTGTAATGAGGCAAAGGTTTTTTATTTAAGATACGAGACGCTAAAAAAAATCCTTCATAGTTCACAGACGCTTTTTGAAGAATGAATTGAAAAATAAAAAGATTTTTTAAAATTATTTCGTCAATTTATCAATCAAAAACATTTTTATTAACCTTAAATTGTATTCGGAAAATTCAGGTCTTCGCTATCAATCCCCTGCCATGATAACAATAGTATGTCAGGGCGAGCTCTCACGTGACCTAGCCTCTGGCCTACCACAGTCTGACCAGCTGCAATAGTGGTGCCACGTGAAAATTCTTGGCCCAAAAAAGTGCCCATGAGGTGCAAGAAAAGCTTCGCTCATCAATATAACTCAACCTGGAAAGTGAGGATATATTACAAAATGGCTATGCTTAGACAGCCCTGATAACCTTCCGTAGATCCTCAGCGATTAGTAAATCATCAATTATTGTTCTTCAACTCCTGTTTAATTTTATGACGGGTTAGTCAAATCCCTTGATTTTTGTTTGACAGCTATAAAATGTCTTGTTTTCTAAGATTTGCAATCCGACTAGAACCTTCAAAAACACCACATAAGTATCCTGAGAAACTAGAGACAAAACAAAAAATTAGAAAACATGTTCATATAATTCAACGGTGGACATTGGTTGCAACATATCTTTAACGCATGATGTATTGACAATCTTAAGCAGCAAAAACTAGTTTTAGAGTTCACGATGAACTACGTTAGACTGAAACGTTTAACGGCTACTTTTTAATTAGCTACAAATCTTTTCACAGGGCTTTAAGGGCTGTAACCTATTCATTCATGGTTTCGGACTTTCAAGCTGAATGCGCAGCTGATTCAGATTTGAACAGCAACCAATTTAAGACATTTCATTTTTGTCACTTTGCTACATTTTTGCAATTGCATCCATACTTTACAAAAGAATAGTCACGAGGATAAAAAATTTCAATCGACAGGACAGGAAAAAAGAATTGTTGGCGTTTTGAGAGCCCCGTAAATTATTTTTCAGATTTTTATCGCGCTGTTTAGTTAATTAGCGAAGATTTCATTTTACGAGCCTCTGCCGTTTTTAGATTGAATTCAAGATTAATCTCTGAATTGAACAAGAGAGGAGAGCAAAAGAATTAAATGAAAAAGCAAAAACTCGGTCCTTCGTTGCGAATTCTGATAACAAATTTGTTTTAACAATCGATGTTTTTTTTTACTGAGATCCGTTCGATGAAAAGTAAGGTGAATAAAAAAATCTTCCTAGTTTTTTCTGAAACTTTTTGATCGATTGGCCATTACGAAGATTTACCTTGAACTGGGCCCTGTTAAATATATTTATGAAAGATAATGCTAAGCTGAAAGAAAGTGATGGTATTAGCTAAATTTACCTAAGCATTTGATATAATTGATGAACGAAACTCATGTCGGCAATAAAATAGTCGGAACAGCAACAAGTTCAACCAGTTTTTAAACCGAAATACAATTTCAAGAAAATGTTTTAGGAATTGAAATAACGACTGAAAAAGTTTTCATATGATACAATACTCAATAGCGTAAAGAACTCTCGAGGTAACTGAAAGCTTGGTGGGAAAATGAGAAAATTCGAAAACAACATGTTCACGGAATGCTCCGACCAATAATAAAAAAAATCGAACATTAGCAGGAAGTAGCGAATCTGAGCTACAGTGATGGAATATTTGACTGGGCTATAATCATTCAAAACCAAATATGCCTCAGTATTCTTAGGCCTATTTTGGCATTGCACTTGCTGATCCACTGTTAGGGCAGCTCTTTTTCGTCAGTTGTCTATTGATATATGTTGATGATTCCGCTAAATTGCAGTCAGATGAACTAAGCTCTCGAAGCTGTCGTCGAAGAAGCAAAAATGATCCTCTGTCACACATCCAGATTTCCGCTTCACCTATTTTCTCGGAAAACAAAGGGCTTCAGTCAACTATTGAATCAGCCAGAGGAACAGGCCTTATTGTTTTGACGTCTCTTCTCAATGAAGTTGTCATCAACCAAATCAACAAAAAAAATCGTATTTTCAGCAGGAACAAGCAGAATTAGTTCCATCAATGTGCCACTCGGTTGATATCCACTGGTTCTGCAACGGTTCACTGCCAACCAAGAAGTCGTGTGGAATAATTTTGTTCAATGAACGACACGCTCTTTGCTTGCACCAGTCGTATTGTCTCTGCAACTATGAACAATTAGTATTGTTTTTCGTCTTAGCCAATTAATTTGCATCCTTTGCCTTGTTGATAATTTTCCCATCGACTGGCATCAAAAATTACGCCCAGGCATCCAAACACGCACAAGTCCAAACTAACTTATAATGATAAATCAAAAAGTAGTTTCTTAGTGAAGTGCGCTGCTGTTTGTTAAATGCAGGCCCAACTCGAAGGCACTCACGATTGTTAACATGCCAATGCAATCATAACAATTTTGGAAGTGTTCTCTCGGCCAGTAGACATCGGGTTGTTTTGGTGATCTCTCTGTTGTGAAGTTCAGCACTACCATTATGTTGAGGTGTGATGAGCGCACCCCATGTTTGCTCGCAGTTTTTAATAGTCGCTGCATACCACTGAAGACCAGTTCCCGACAGCTAAGGCCCTGATGTCAGTCTTTTTTGCACGGTTTCTTCATGCCTTCTCGCAGAACACTTGCTTGCTATCTGTAAGAGTTTATGATACAGCCTGCTGGTTATGGTGCTCTAGTCACTGTTGCCAGCATGAATAGCCGCCTTCTTTGTTCTTGACGCTAGGGTAATCGGATATCGTTTGATTCTTATTTTTCTAAGAAAATCTTGCGATGCTGTCGCGTAGATATATAGATATATGAGCACCACCCTTTGTAAGAAGATGAGAAGCATAGGTAGCAAAACTGACGTTGGAACTTCTAGTCAACCCTGAGCATAAATTAAGTTCGTCCTGTAGTCCAGTACAAACTGCCAGTAGTGTTCCCAATGATGACACCTCCATTCAGCAGGCTTGCTACACAGCACCTGACGAAAATTTCTCCTTCCAGATTGCCGTAACATAATATAATACCTATTTGCGTTTTGAGTTTTGCCACTGAATTACAGATTTTTTGCGAGCCTATGCCTCGAGCACTGCCAGAACACTATTTGACGACGCACGCATCGCTTGAACTAGCCTCCAGGGCCTCGTCCCACTGTATAGCCGTCTGTATCTTTCGTACATTAATGTAATTTTGTTGAGGGGTAGAGAAAAATGTGACCAGACGGTGTTTTGTTATTTTCATTTGGCTGGATCAGCTTGGCTTACTGCTGCGTGTTGTACTTAGAGGCAAACATCTGTTCAGCATTTGGAGTCTCGGGTAGAGTAAGCGCAGACCCTATCAGATGAAGTCAAGATTGACTATCACTATCCTGTCCTGGCCCTTTGTAATTATCAGCGCCACACTCTCAAAGACAAAGCTAGAGAATTGTTTAATAATTCACTGTAACTAGCGTGTAACGCACCTCTGGTGCTTCGAATTTATGACAGTCATAAAAAACGGTATATATTGAAAATAAAATTTGCATCCTTTGAGTGTACTCTGACAGCACCCAATTACAGGGTTGGCAATTTCAAATTTTAGAAAGTGATTCAACTTTTTTAAATTCAAATTTTGAAAAACCATACAACTTTGTGATTTTTTTAATCAAAATATGTTCAAAATTTTTAGAATTACAGAAAAACCTCACATCTCGGAATTTAAAAGCAATTGAGCAGTCGAATTTAGACGCAAGATTTGTAATTTCTGAGGGTACTGACAGTAGTCAACTAAAGGGTCGGGAAGTTCGGATTTTGAAAAAATTCAAATTGAAGTTATCTGATTATTTTTTTGAAAAAACCAAGAAAAATACCATCTCTCGAAAACCCCTGAGACTACTCTGACAGCCCCCAACTTCAGGGTTAAGTATTTGGTTTTTTATCAAAATATGGTGGGGGAAGACCTGAGCCATGCATAAACGTGCGTTTCACTGCCTGAGACAGGAATTCCTCAAACTTTGAAAAATTAAATTTAGGTTTTCTGAATTTTTTTTGACAAAATTCATTTAAATGTTGTATATCTCGAAAACTACGACAATTTAGCCCAAATTTAGGGAAAAACTCGCTAGGTGTGCCCTGATAAAGCCTCACTACAGAGATGGGAACTTAAGAAAATTTTTAAATCCAAGTTCTTTGAACAATTAAAAAAAACTACAATCTCAGAAAACCACATCTCAGAAATTGAAAAAAAAACTACAAAAAAACTACAATCTCAGAAAACCACAACTCAGAAACTGAAAGCATTAGAGCAGTCTTTTTGAAACGCAAAAACTGCAACATGAAACTCTCGAGAGTACCCTTACACTACCCAACTACAAGTTTGAGAATTTCAAATCTTTTGAATTTTTCGAAATCCGAGTTTTCTCAAAAATTTAAAAGAATTCATAAAACACGTCATATCTCGAAAACTACAACAATTTGAGCAGTCATGTTTGAAGGCATGATAGGCAATCTCAGAGACCCAGAGAGTCCTCTGACAGCTCCAACAGCAGAAAATTCAAATTTTGAAGAA